TTCATTGCTAATTTCCATCAAACCACCCCTGCCACGTCCCTAGTTCTCCCTAGTTCTCTCTTGCCCTTCCTTCTCGTCCTGTTGCTGAACTTGCTTTCTTTTGAAGACAACTAAAATTTCTGTTCTTAACAGAACTCTCCAATACTGTTTCTGTTGCATTTGACATAAGCCATGAGTTTTAAAATTCCAGTACAGAGAATAAAATAAGGCTCTTCCATGGATAGTCTGCCTTCAAGCTTTTGTGCTTGTGTATTTTAAGTAAAATGAGTCAGCCAAATACAGGCAGAGGCACAAAGAGGCCTTTTTATGTGATAGAAGTAAATTGGCCTGACCGATGAGCCCATTTCAAGGTATTACAGAACAAAAGTCTGAATTTTTAGGTCACAGAAAGACTATTAAGTTACAAGTCGATATCCAGTTGAGTATGTGAACCTTCTCATCTTGTTGCGTTTAACATTTGTTTTTATCGTAGCTGTTGTTTTTACTGTATTCCAGCTCTCAGTCTTTCTACCATCAACTGCTGATTACTCACTCTCAGACGTGACCCTCAGGAAGTAGAGCATAGAGTGCGAGGGTACCCGGGAAACTGGCTTCCCAACTCCTTTTCCTCCAGCATTAGTGGGCTCTGGCCATGTTTGTTCCATCCCAGCACTGCTCCTGATGAATTGGCTTCTGGATTGTAGTGTTAGGAAAACACCAGATGTGAAGAGATGACAGTTTGAGTGATCCTGGGGCACAAGAGGATGAACTGAAAACTGGCCTAAGACCGAATACACATAGGAGACCCTTACTATATTTTCGTGCTACAATTTAAAAACTCATAGCTTGTCCTAGACAGAACACAAACAGAATTAGATGAGTTATTTCATGAACAGAATTTTTAATTATCTATCCAAATAGACAGACTTGGCAACAGCTTTCAACTTTTCCTTGTTGAGCGCTGTAGGGCAGCGTGCTTCCTGCTGATAAGGAAAATGCTTCCTTTCAGCTGATGACTGGGATTTGATTTGAAGGAGAATAAAATCAGATTATCAGTCACTGGTAAAGGTTTTCTAAAGATCGACTGTTTAAAACTGGAGAAACATGTGAGTGACTTCAAAGTCCTATTGTCCTGTTCAGTGGCTGCCTATGACATTAATGTATTGGACAGTGTCCGATTTGCCTCAAAGTCAATGACAAGATTTTTCTCTGCTTCCTTTTATCCAGGTTGCTGTGGTAATTCTTTGTTTAGTCAGTGAGCAGAGCAACCAAGAGGGTAGTGTCCATTGTGGTCCTTACGGTAGTACAGCCTGTCACTCTGGCATGGAGACAACACAGAATTAGGGCGGGGGTGTGTGTGCGTGCATCAGAATAACTGAAAATTTTTCCTAGAGGAATTCACTAAGTGACTTGAACTCACAGATCATCTCTAAAGTGAGCCTTGCACACCATTCTTGCCTATCTCCTGTAGATAGGTTAATGTGCTTATTAAAAGCATTTTGAAAACTGCACTGCCACATACATAAAAAGCACGCAACTTAATGAACAACGAATTTTGTATCTTTTCTCTATTGATAGCTAAATTATTAGCAAATAATTTTGCTGCTAGTCCCAAGATTTTTATAGTTTGTTCCCGTGCCTAGTAAAGTCTTGCTAGAAGACAATAAATAGTACAAGTCAAGCAACTGTTCTATTTAAGACACTTTTCCAGAAACCTTATTTTGACTCTTTTATTAACCTATATAACAACTCCCTGAGTTAGGGACTAGTATTCATGCAGCTGATCTAAAGATTAGGGATAGTAAATTATCCATGAAGTATCATAGTAGAATTGAAGTCCTCTTTGTCTAATGTCACAACCCATATTTAACCCATGTATTAGACTGTTTCCAAAAGGGTTTGACCTAACATGCTAATTAAACAGTTACAAATATTGTTCTCCCCATGAAAACCTTTGACAAACTGGGTGTAAGAAGTCACATCCCTGTTCTACTAAATTTGAAACTCTGGAAACTTTTTGTCATGCTCTTGTTCTCTCATTAGTTGATATTTTTGTCATGTCAGATTCTCCATGTGGAGCCCTGGCCTTTCCTAAGTCAATTTTCACCTATTTTAGTCACAAATTTCAAGTTATTAAAAACCTCCCTATTTCTTCTGTGTTTTGTTATTCATTCAACCACAAACACAGTGTGACTATACAATGGAATCACCTTCTGTGTTATTTCCAGGTAACTGTTGAGTCATGAATTTTTTTCATTTTCAGTGTTCTCTTCTAATCCCTTTCTATGATGTTAAGTCTCAAACACAGTGTTGCCAATCTCACAAACTATGACATGATTATTCATTTATTCTTGTTGGTATTAATATCATTTAGGAGCCAGGTGTAGTGGGGCACACCTTTGATCCCAGCACTCAGAGTGGCAGACAGATCTTTATGAGGTCAGCCTGGTCTATATAGTGAGTTCCAGGCTAGCCAAGGGTACATAATGAAACCCTATCTCAAAATTAAAAAAAAATGCAAAACCAAAATATGTGTAAAAACTCTAGAGGGCATCATTTACAGGCTACTTACTCTAGAAGCATGTACTTCCTGAGCTCAGGCAACACTGGGGCCTGTGCTATGTTCAAATATGGATATTTCCCTAAATTACAAGTGAGTGAAGCTATTCTGTTTACATGCTAGGGTTCTTGATAACCATTTTATCAAATAAACAACCCAGTGAGAAAGTCCTTTGAGAGAACGAGCTGGGAGCTCATGTATCTCATCTCTGCCTCTTAGGTTGAGTCCATCAGCCAATCATATCCATTATTTTAAAATCAGAGTTGACTCACTTAAGCCTCTGCATTACCTTTTCCCCATTGTGTTTTCCAATTGTTTTAGGTTTCTTTGTAAATTCCTTTGCACCTGCCAGGATAGTAACATCCTGCCCCCTCACTGGGTACTGAGATAATATCAGATTCTTGGCTCAAGTCCTGCTTTGAAAAAGCTAATCAATAAAGTATAGATATATATATAACTCACTTTTTTAAAAATAAAAACTTATTGAAATTAATCTTTGCAAATGAAAGAAAAAGCAATAATGTCTAATAGTGTAAATCCTAAAAATGTATGTTATATTCATGGATTTGTTTTCTAAGAGATTAATGTGCTTGTTCCCTGCAGCAATGCTTCTCCTAAGGCATATACCTAGTACTAATTCTTTCAGTAAGTGAACAAGCAAATGGAGGAAAATGGAAAACTATTTTGCTTTTTTTTAATTTAGAATAACAAAGATGTCATCACGTCCCTAACATAGTTAGCAGAATTGACTTTATTTTCTAGACATTTATGGTTTCTACCATAAATATTGCTAAATTCCATTTTTAATTTATATTTGATATGAACTTTGAAGTCAAATCTACTACCTTTTAATATGGTAAACTACAGAAGTAATGAGAACATGAAGAAAACAAAATTTGACAGAATTTTCAAGTTTTAACAGTCTTTCTCTTATTTTTTTTCCATAACAGTTTCCTAACAGGGAAATGATTTCCTAAAACTGAAAATATTAGAATTTCTCTTCAAAAACACACACACATCCTCAGTCACTATTGATAGAAGCATAAAATGATACACTTAAAAGCAATATTTCATTCCTATTATTAAGCAAACCTTTCTTATTCTTGGTCTTGAACTGTAGGAGAGGGTACTGTGGATCCACAGGGAGGTAACTGTGGCTTTCAAAGCCACACTGGAGTTAAGAAACTAATATCACCATCCCAGTGTACAGGTCACAGTTACCATCTTGCTAGGTGCAGAGAAATTTACAAGGAAACCTAAAACAACTGGAACAATGGGAAAATGTGATGCAGAGGCTTAGAGGAGTCAACTAGTTTAAAAATAAGTGGATTTGACTGGCTGATGCAGAGATGCACTATCTGAGCTCCTAGCTTCTTCTCTCAAAGGGTTTTCTCATATGGTTATCAAGAACCCTAGCATGTGAACATAGCACAGGCCCCAGTGTTGCCCTAGCTCAGGAAGTACCAATTTCTAGAGTAAACAGACTGTGAATGGTGCCCCCTAGAGTTGAGCAGGCATACTGAAGAATTGTGCAACTATGCTGGTTTTAGCTTCAGGAATATTTTCAGTGTGTTTTTTACAGTAGGAAAAATATTTCCTAATCTTTGATTATGCTTATTTTTAGAACATTCTCCACACTCTAAAATGCCAATGCTTAGTTTTAAATAGGTTATTTTTCAGAATGGGATTTCCCCTTCCCCCTCTCCCCCTAGAAATAAAAGGAGAAACATTAGAAGACTTAGGAAAGGTATTGCCTTGAGCTACAGATTTAAAGTCTGGGAATAAAAATTTCAAGTGGAAGTAGGAGAAAAGCATATGAAGAAGGTGCATTGTGGGAACTTTGAGACAGAATCAGGGGCTCGCTCCTTCCTGAGTCAATCTCAGGTGTTATAGGCCGGGCTCAACTTGCTGTGGAACTGACATTGACCTTGTCCCTCCTGATCTTGTCTCTGCCTCCCCTGCTGGGACTTCAGACATGCACCACCATGCCTGGATACAATCAGGTCCTTTATAGATTTGAAATTCTGCTGTTGATTCAGGACCTTGACTTCCAGAACCCACTGTCTTCCTCCTAGGGGTTTTCACCTAAAGCTAATAAAGAAAATCTAGGAATAAGATTTTCCTAGTAGGAAAATCTAGTAGGAATAAGAACTCAGAATTAATATAGGAATAAAATAATCATTATCTCAAAAGAATAAATTGAATAACTATGATTTCCCTCTCTTGCCTTTTTTGCTAGGGATTAAAGCCAGGGCATTGTATATACTCAGCATGTGTTTTACCACTTAGCTATAACCACACCCTTCTGCTTTATGATGGCAAGACTAAACTTTATTGTAACTTTTCTCCTATAGGAGGCATTGCACATCCTCCATCACCTTTGGTGAGATGAAAGTTTAAATATTTTCTGGCCACTGTTTACCACTTTGCACTAACTAAGCTTTTTTTTTGTGTTCAACAGGCTGTGGTGGGGAGGTGTCTGGAGTCACAGGCTCCTTCAGCAGCCCTGGGTACCCTAACAGCTATCCTCCCGACAAGGAGTGTATCTGGAACATTCGTGTGGCCCCAGGGAATATCATTCAGCTCACCATCCATGATTTTAATGTGGAATATCACCCAGACTGCAACTATGATGCCCTGGAGGTAGGAAGTCAAATCTTTTTTGTTGTTGTTGTTTTGTTTTTTTCTTTTTTTTTTTCAGTATATTACAAAATCTAGGGTAAAACTGGAGAGAGCCCACATTCATTCCAGTGGCTAGCCCTGTTCTATTCTTAGATGTTCTAACAAGTATCTCCTGTCTGTGGATAATGTTAGTAGACATATGGGATTAATATGCCAGTTGGATCTCTCTCCTAGTAGTGCCTGGGGGCCTTGGCCTGGACTGGTTTACTAGGAGGTAAGGAGAGCCAACAGCAATTGGGGAACAACGAGAGAAAAGAACCGGGAAGGGTTGCCTATGGAAGGAAGGAGTCACGGGGAGCAGGTTGGGTTTGGTCTCTTTCAGGGATGGAGAGGAGGCAATTCATTGGTCCCTTAACTGTGGCCCCTGTTGATAAAGACTGTGCTTGGGATTTTTAGCAGTTCACACTTCTACTTCTGGTCTGAAGAATCTCCCATAGAGAAAGCATTCTGCATTTGGAAGTCAGTGGGAAGATGGGCCCCAGCACACTGACCACCTGTGTATTGCTTTCATAACTGCAGCTGCTGCTGGGGTTTTGGCCACTGTTCTGCTAGAGGTTACAGCTACAGCTGCTATGGGGGGAGGGGGGTCTTTTAAGTCACTTAGTGTGGCCTTTATCTACAAAAAGGTCTTTGTAGATAAGGACTTTCCCATACTTCTTCAAGACTTTATCTCAGAAAATTAAGGCAACCTTTGAGAATTTTAGGCCTTAAAGTTGGTGATAATCAACTTCAGGATATATCAGCACATTGAATGATTTCTAGGCACACACACCTCAGCTATGGGGACTACTATTTCACATCATTCTACAGCTAATGGCGTGTAGACTTCATGAGGCTTGGCGTCTGGTTTGTCGTCTGCCCCCCCCACCCCGTATTCATAGTGCCAAATGCCTAGCAAAGAGTGAGCACCTGATATTTGTGAATGAGCAAAAGCATCCACAACTATGATTGACACTTGGTAACTCTGATTGACACATGGTAACAACACACATTTGGAGCACAATGATTGTACGCAACCACATTCACATTTGAATGTGAACAGTCCCATGCAAGAAAAGGAGGACTCTGTCCACATGTTATCGTTGTCAAAATCAAGTCTCACAGTTGTGGCCTTTTCTATGACCACCTGGATGGTGGCTGTTATAGGCATGGATGGCACCTGACGAAAGCTTCCAGTTTCATGTGTCACAGGGCATAGAAGTAGACCAAGGATACATGGTTATACATAGATGGAGAGACAGTTTTTAAGAAAAGGAAATGAGAGTGGGTTAGTGAGCTGAGGGAAAATCTAACTCTTGAGAGTAGTGGGTCCCAATGCTCATCACCTTCATAGGTCATATACACAGCTCAGGCCTCTCCCACACTTGTATTATTGTACCTGTTGTGCTCAGATCTGATGCAAAAGCAAAGAGTCTTTAATTTTACAAGTTAACTCGGGTTCCCTCAACCATCCAACACAGGAAGACCTGGAGCAGCAGTGGGGCAGGGAATATATTGGAGTAGAGCAAGGGGAGTGTCTGGGAGTCCACTAGTTACATAGCAACAGTCTCAGGATTGGTGTACCTCCGGGTTTGGGAAACCTGCCCTGAGTTAATTGGTCAGCTGTAGCTGCAAGAAGGTTGTTATTCCTAGAGGCCATTCCTCTGGATTCCAGTATTATCAGTGTAGCACATCCAGAGACCACCAGCTAACTTCTTCTTGGTTCCTTGCCACTTGGAGGGTAACTGGCTTCCTAGTGATTAGGACAAGGTTGGGCAAGGTTGGAGACTCAGCACATGCTGCTGAGTCAGGGGCCTATGTCTTGTTGGGTCTTTTCTGCAGCCTGTCATGGCTGCCAAAGTAGAGGGCTGGGCCCTTCAGTATATCCTGGACTTTCCTTGGGCAGGATCTCAGCTAGAAGGGGAAGAGTTTCAAGGCTTTCTCTGGCAACTGCTGTTTTCCATATGTTAAGGTTGATATAGTTTTCTCCAGTGAGAGCTCTCCTCCACAAATGGAAGGCCTATGAAATAAATTCATGAATTTGGTAGCCACTCACTACTTTATGGAAGCCCGGGTAAAGTGAAGATTGAAAATAGCAGAGAGGACTTTATAGGAAAACTTTAACCCTTAAAGATTATTTGGTAAGAAGAAATGGGGTTCTCGGGCCCTAGTGGTGGGTATAGTCATGAGGAATTACATTCAGCACCTCAGTTCCCTCTACAAGGAGGCAGTGGTGAGAAAAGGGAGGCCTTGAGTCAAATCTATATCCCTGTCTGTGGCAGTACTGCTACTGCTTCATGCCTCTGTACTGCTGGAGGAATGGTGTTTAGGAGAGGACATGGTGACTCCTGAAATTCACTCTTAAAGCTTGAAGAAAGCCCCATAGGATGCTGAAGTCATTTCCTCTACCAACAAGGATACTATTTGATTGCAGAAAACCCTTGACACTTGCAAAGGGCTGGCAGCTGATTTTCCGCAGCATTGCATGTGGTTCCAGGTTCCAAGCCCTTTCTTGTCATATTCCAGAGTACATGTGATTGGTGCCCACTTGGCAAAGTGTAAATGGATTCATTGTGCTTTGGGTCTTGTCACACCCATTACATGAGAAAGCAGAGACAAGGGGTGTTCTCTGTAAGCAGCCTCAAGAGCACAGGGACAAAATGAGAGACTCCAGGCAGCAAGCAGCACTTTTCGGGACAGGCAGACCTGTGCCAGATCAAAAATGTCTGTGACAAGAGGTGGCAGTCTGCTTGGATTTATGTTTAGTAGGACAAACGGACAATTCTGTGGGCTCCCAGCTTCTGCTAGGAGCACAATTTGAAGGACTATGTCAAGGTCGGGTGGCTATAAAAAATAATGCCTTGGTCTTTTCTCTGACAGTGCTCATCTGGGGGTGGGGGGGCAGCTCAGCTGGGGGGATCTGTAGTGAGTTGGCGTTGATAATAGCAGCGAGAGGAGGATTTTTTTTTAATTTTCTTTCTTTAGTCACTGATAATACATTGACTGTGTGTTTTTAAATCTGTTACCCAGATAGACGTACTCCAGAAACAAGGGTAACTTTCTCAACTTGTACACTTCTTATCCTACTGAACACAGTCAAGTAGGACTTACTGTCACTAGACACTGAACTGTCTGGGATCCACTGAATTTTACCAGGAGTGACCTTGTCCTTTAAAGAATTATTCTCTACAAAGTGGCCAGTTGCACAAAGCAACAGCCATAGAGCTACTCATAACCCTGGAATGCTGACTTGATCTTCAAAATAAATGGAGCTAACAGAGCAGAAAGCAATGTTCAGAACAGATTAAAACTACAGGCTTTGAAATACTCCCCATCCTGGGCATTTGCTAAAAACACACGTTAATCTCTGATCAGCGTACCATTTCTTCCCCCCACGGCGTTTAGTCACAAGCTGGAGTGCAATGAGTCACACCCTGAAATTCTTTCCATCCTTTCCCAGTTTGACCATGTGCTAACTATCAGTTTTATTTATGGGAACCAAAAATCACCATCCTGTTGTTTGGTTATGGAAATCCCAGGCTGATTTTGTTTCAGTCTCCAAGAAAGCTCTGGGCAGAGCCTGGGGAGGAAATCCCCACCCTGGTACAATAAAACAAGACAATTGCTTGATGTGGGCAGCTTGCACAGCCAGGGAGGGCCTCTCAGCAATGGTCATTTGTGAGCTGAGCCCAGAGCCAGGGGAGGCAAAGAATGTCCGAAGTGGTGGTATTTATTCTTTTGGAGCCTTCTAGGCCTAGCCAACTCACACCCATTATGTTTGTGATCTCAAGGGGATACATGAACAGGGAAAACAAAGATTATTTTGCCGATTTGTAAGTTTCTTTGTCAGCACTAAGGGCCAGTGCAATGTTCTCTGGGAATACATGCTGGGGACTGCGCTCTGGGCTGAGGTAGGGAGGACAGACATGAGAAAGAGTTCCTTAGCAAGATGAGCTTCCGTTCACATGCACATACATGGGAACAGGCAACAACGGAGGCTCTTCCCGAAGCCTGGCTTTTCATGGCACTTTCAGGGCCTCGCCAACAGCAAACATTAGTTCCTCCTAATGAAAATAAGCCCAGAGCAATTGCCTGCTTCATTCCTTTGCAATTACTGTGCTTGTGCTCAGCCCTCTGGGGGGAACAGCGGTTTCTTTTTCTTCAGTGGTTTCTGCCTGGCTGGGGGTGGGGGCATGTGGGGTTGGGGAGATAATCACACAAAAGAAATCATTATAGATTCAAGTCATATACTCACTCCTCCTCCAAAATGGGTTTCTTGTTCTCACTGTCTCCCCAGGGAACTCTTGAGTGAATTCCCTATCAGTCAGCTGAGGGCTCGAGGGTGAGCATGGAAGTGGGCTGGCGTGGGAGTGGGGGGGTGGTGGTGGGCAAGGGAGATTGCAGAGGAGCAGAGGAAAGAGGCTCAGCTTGGAGAGATGAGGGGTTGCAGCCCATGACGTCTCACCCAGAGATGCCTTCCTGGCTTTGACCCTGGAGGCTGTGAAGACTCAGACATCATTACACTTAAAAACTGTCCCCCAAAGTGCTCCGTCTTCTACAAAGCAACTCTGAGAAGACCTTAAAGATGGCAGTAGGGGTGCCAGTGTCTTCTCTTTAAGTTGTTATGTCCCCTCACCCCCAGTCCCACACATACCTCAGATAAGGAGTGTATGGCATGTGAGATCTCCTGGAGGTAGGGCTGAGGAAAGGAATCGCTTTCCAGCAGAATGTGCCACTGAGTTGAGGGATTCCAATCAGACATATAGTCAGGCAGACTTGGGGTGCCTGGGAGGGCTGCAGTCATGTGGGACAAACTTAGAGGGTTTCTACATGGGAGGTGGGAAATCCTGGCCATGCTCTTCAGAGCAGGCCTAGGAGACTGCACATCACTCCTGTGATGTCCAGAGTATCCTTCTGCAGGTTGTATTTGACTCCCTCTGAAGAAGCAAACCTGTTATGTTTGATTTCTAATCCTAATAAACATTCGATTTTCAGGGTAGATGGAATTTCCTAAAAGTGTAACTAGAAAATCAAAAGCCTTCGGTGAGCTCAATATTTATAAACAAAAATAACTTTCTCCTGAGACAAGACTTAGAAAATATGTCTTTATACTGTACTATATGCAATGTCTCTGTCAGAGAAAGCAAGACATCTCAGATATATGAAGAAGAATGAAAATATAAGGAAAGTTCTGGAATAATCTATGTGTTCTAACTTCACTGTTGCATCTAATGAAGCAAATAGGTATTTTATGAGTGACAGAAATTTTGTCTTCCTGAGGCAGAAGGGGTGCCTATAAACAGTTCAAATTTATAGTTCATCTCACCCAGGGAGACTGAGTACAGTCTCTAGTCATAATAGATTCTAAGAGTTGTTGCAAAACAGCAGCTCAAGAAGAAGCTGAAATGCCCATCTTTAAATTTTAACTGAAGTCCTTTTCTGTGCCTTGTTAGATCTATACAGGCCTTGATATTCACTCTCCAAGGATAGCCCAGCTGTGTTCCCGAACACCATCAGCAAGCCCCATGCGGCTCTCCAGCACTGACAATGAGCTAGCCGTCCGATTTAAGACTGACAGCAATTTAAATGGAAGAGGTTTCAATGCTTCATGGCGAGCAGTCCCTGGAGGTAAGTGATAAGGGAGACATCCTGAATTTGAATTTTACAAAATAATTGGAAGAAAGCGTGAGAGTTACACCCTGGTGACTTTGTAACTTCCTGAGTAACCAGTGTTGCTTTGACATATTGTCTTCCTTAAAAGTCCTGGTGGGTTACCTTTCTCAGGATATAAGTAGGCCAGCACTTGTAAGAGCAGAATTGCAGAGTCGTGATGATTGGAGAGACTCGTTTGCTGAACACATGACTAGTTCCTATTCCCCATGTCACAACTAAACATCAGTAAGTATCCAGTTACCTCATGCCATAGAGTAGACTTTGGATTCTTTGCAAATGTCAAAAGAAATAAGCATTAAATGTATCAAATCCAAAATTAAGTGTTGCAATAGTGATTTTCAGCCCAGGATCTTAGGTTGTCAAAATAAGTTGCTTGTGGCAGATTTTTAAAATTACACATTATATCACATTTTATTTTTAGCAGACACACACTATTTGTGGGGTTAGTAGTGTCATAGAATGGCTACTATATCCCAGGTACTTTTCTAGCTAATGAGGATTATCTAGTTTAATCTTTACAATTTACACTGTGAGAGAAGTCTATTGCACACCCTCATCTGACAAACTTGGAAGGGGAAGGAAGCTTAGAGAGCTTAGTGACTTCCCCAAGGTCCCATTGCTGTATGCTAGTGCAGAGATGTGACACAAGGCCACCTTAGGCCGCTTCCTTAATGCCAAGGCAGTGTGGAGCTATATGAAATCTGTCTTAGAGTGAATTACCTATTAATTTATATGTAGAGCATTCAGGTTAGCCCTGCTGCCAGCAAACACTGCTGAAATTACCTATCAGTTGCTCATGTTATCATAAATCCAAGGAACAATAGTTAACATTGATAGACTTTGCATTAACAGATATTTGATAATACTGTAAGAATTAAACACATCTTAAGTAATGTATTCTATCTGGAGTATTAACAATTTCAAAAGCAGACAATAAGTAATGTATAACGTTATATGCTGCTGGACTATCTAACATTTGAAAGGTGATTCTTAGAGTATGTGATGTAGAGAACAACAAAGGGATACCTTGTAGCCCGTGAAAGCATGAATTCATCTGTCTTTATTTTTGCTGTTATTTTTATTTTTTTGAGACATGATTATATTTAGACTGTGGTTACCTCAAAGTTTCCATACAGTGACAGATAACTTTGAACTTCCAATCCTCCTGTATCCACCTCTGGAATACTGGTGTTATAGGATGCATGACTATGCACAGTTTATGCAGTGCTGGGATTTGAACCCAGGTTCTTGTGCATGGTAGGCAAGCACTAACTGAATTATACCCTTAGCCAACATTATTATTTTAATTAACTTTTTTTTTTGGTTTTATGAGACAGGGTTTCTCTGTATTGTTTTGGAGGCTATTGGTCCAGCCCAGCCTTGAACTCACAGAGATCCGCCTACCTCTGCCTCCCGAGTGCAGGGAGTAAAGGCGTGCGCCACCACCGCCCAGCTATTTTAATTAACTTTTGACACCAACATTTATAGTATTTAAAGTATTTAACTCATATTATCCATGTCCCCTTATTTGTCTTGAAATGAATGAATTAATGTAGGTATTTAGTTCTTTAACGTTTTAACATAGAACCGACACAGTAGTCAAGCCTGGTAGGATTCTGTTCACCTGTGGTATTAGAACCAGAGGAGTTACAATTTTGTGTCGACGGGATTCCTCTCATGACTGAACTGGGTTTCCTTCTTGCAGGTTGTGGTGGGATTTTCCAGGTTCCTAGAGGGGAGATTCACTCTCCAAATTACCCCAATGGCTACAGAGCTAATACTGAGTGTTCTTGGGTCATTCAAGTTGAAAAACATCACCGTGTGCTCTTAAACATCACTGACTTCGACCTTGAAGCCGCAGATTCCTGTATTATGGTAAGTGGCACAAATTTCAAACATTGTTACTATTGAATGTGAGCTAATATTGAGGATGTACTTACTAGTTTGCATGTTTTCCGTGTCAGGTTGTAGGAGAGTCAATTCCTAGCAACTTTAAACGTAAGGACATTGTAGTTTTGTTTGTTTTTCTTAAAATCTGGTTATGGAGGTTTGTTCAGAAGCTGCATCCCTGATCTAGCATTATTAGCTTTTATTTTTATTTCACTTGACATCAAGAAATAGTTTCAATAGCTCTATCTCATTCTATTATCTGAGGAAAGAAAGAAGGGACAGTGTGTGCGTGTGCATATGTGTGCGTGCGTGCATGCGTGTGTGTGTGTGTGTGTGTGTGTGTGTGTGTGTGTGTAAAGGGGAATTTCTACAAAACCTCCTTATGGGCATGACTGGCCACAAACTAGAGCAGGGAAGCCCATTTGGAGACTCATCATAACTAGCTTAGATGGGTTATCATTAAGCTTCTGTGGTTCCTAGAGAGCTTTACTTTTCTTATAATCAGAATTTTTCAGTTTGCTACTTGAACAAATAAATACTCTGATAGGACCAAACAGGCTGGGAGATTGGGGTACAGAAAGGGACGCAGCTATTAGTGGATTTAATGATAAAGGATTGTTACAGCTACCAATGACTAAAGCTCTCTGACTTGAAATGAATACTTTGTAGTGAATGTAAGAATGGATAATGTTTTCTTCAACTTTGTACTTTAAAAAGTTTTGGTTACTGATTTTCAAGCAAAAGATTTTCCTTGTTCCTTTTGTTTATAGGTAGTTTGCGCTAATATAAACCAGACTTTCTTGGTTAATAAATCTTCCTATTTTAGCTTCCTGGCAGTTCCTTACATACATGCCAACTGGCTAGTTACTTTTGAACTTGACTCAAGAAAATCCAAGTTTTTCAGTGTTGCAAAATCACCAAGTGTCCATTTTAAGTATTATGTTACAAGGTTGGATCATTAGAAAAGTTCACTAGACTCTTGACTGTATACTTACCCCCTAACCAAGCCTTCAGAGTCCAAGTGGGCAAGGTAGTATATGTAGGACATCCACTCTCCTTAGTGCTAATTTGGACCAACTCTCCCGGAAAAGAGTATTTAAAATTGGATGACATTTAAAAACAGCTTTCTGAATGTAGCAATGTCTCATTTAATATGTGAAATGTGAACACAGTATTTGGAACAGTCTTTGCCCAAAAGGGTTTTGACCATTCAAAAAAGGTCAACAGTACTTGTGAAGGCTTTGGGAGCAATGATGACAATGAGCTCAGAGCCCAGTTAGGTGCAGGTCCTGAAAAAAACATTATTCCTAAAGTAAAATAAAGGTGCAATAGCCTCTACAGTGATGGCTTCCCAGCTTCAAGTCAACTTTGTGGTCCCCACAAATTTCAAGATAAAGGAGAGCAAAACTCATATTGTTTAGGTATGGGCACTGGGAGAAGCAATCTGAAGTTTTCTTTAAGGGGAGAGAGAATCATCCTAAACCCCCTGTATGTTTTCATGTGCAGTAGCCAGCAGCCTGTTGAAGGCATAAATGAGACACAGAAGAACAACGGGTAACAGAAGCAAACTTGATGTTATGCCCAATACTGAGGTCACCAGACACAGAAGATAAAATATTTTAATAAAGAATGGGAAACTATGCAAAGCCACATCACAGTCATAAAAAGAGAAAACTGAAAATTTTAGAATCCCCCCCAAAAACCCTACACTATCTAAATTAAAGACTCCAGAATAAGGGTGTTTGGGAAAATTAGATTAAGTAATGAAGTGAGAAGTGATGAACTGGAGGACAAGTCAGAATAATGAACACAAAGTAAGGCATAGGTGAACGAAAGACTAAAATACAGAAGAGGGGCTCAGACACATTAGGGATGTGTAGAAGAAGATCCTAGAAGAGAGAAAAGAACAAGCAGAATAAATAGAAAGGCATGTTTGCTTAAGAAAATCTTAAAGCAAGGGGAGGGGTGTAGAAAGACTGTCTGAAAATCCTGTAGACTAAATGCTGACTTTCTACAGCAATAATAAGAAGCAAGCCAACAAACAAAAGGCAAATGGAATTTAAGTTCTGCCTAAAGAAAGAAACCCTATAGGCTTGCAAAATTTATTTACAAGCAGAATATGAATGGATACAATTCAAAGAAGAGCCTTCGGTAGAAGTTAGGATGGGTTGGAAGCATATTGTCTACCCATAGACAGGGACAACAGCCCCTTCTCCACTTCCTCTTCCCTTAGCACTCACAGTGTAGACAAGTGGAGATACAGCTCCTCCTTGGCATATTCCCTGATCCCTAGAGCTCAGCACACAGCATCTGATCAGGTCAAAGCCCAGGTTAGAGGCATGCCCAACTTGGGTGTGTTTTCCTTCCTGTGCTCATGAAATGTTTTTTCCATGGACCTTGTGGACATACACAGATAAAAGTTTGTGTTAACTACTGACGTATCTCCATGCACAGCAGGGCTTGCTTAACCAACCATGGAAAGAGAGAATGGGCAAGAGGAAGCAAAACCTCAAACGGGATCTCATCAGATGTTGGAGGTGTGCGAGTAAATTGGCAGACAAGTTCTAGGAGGGATTCCACTTGGCAGAGACATCAGAACACAGCATATGATCATTTGAACATGTTGTCAGTATGAAGCAGCTGGAATAGCCTAGACAGTGGGCAGAAGGGTGCTCAGAAGCAGATATCCTGAAGCACTTGGCAAGTTATGATGTAACTAGTGAACTGCACCAACACGGAGAGACACTGTAGAGCATTGGCTTAGAGACCTGACTTTCTGGTAGGATGAAGCTGGTTCTATCTCAGATGTGGTCATTACTAGCTGTGCTGCTTGAGAAGAGTTTGGCATTCAGGTTTAGTCTCATTGACTGGACTAAGTTAATAGGGCGGGGGGTGCTATGCCGTATTATGACTTGGGTTATTTGAAAAGCCGTGTTTGCTGTCAAAGAGAAACTTTTGACTGTGGCCTTCAGCATGGTTCTGTTACTGATGGCTTATGTGGTTTCAGACAGGCATGTTCAACGAGCAGGAGAAGAGGCAGCATGCAATAATAGGAGGGTCAATGGGCTTAGGGATAAGCTGGGAGGCTCTCCATCTCTGACACTGGGCCCCAAATGCTTTAGATGCAAAAGTTTAAGAACCTCCCTAGTGGAATTCTACCTTAGTACCCTGCCATAATAGTCACAAGAAAGCAGCAGGGAGTGTGACTCATTTGGTTCTGGAAACTAGAAAATCTTTCACACTGGAGGTGACAGTTAAGTGACAGAGAGCACACAGTGAGGCAGGGGTAGGGGAGGCCGCCAGAGAGTGATAGGGAGGAAAATAGCAATGGATGTTAGAACAGAAAAAGGCAAAGACTTGTGCCTGGAGTTTAGACAGTTGTTAAGAAGCATGGAGACCTAAGCCAACAGAAGCCCTCCAAGTCAAATCCTTTTCCACGCTCTAGTTAAAAAGAAAATGAAATTATCTTATAGATAGATTCAGTACATTTTCCCACATAACAGAGGAATGACTTACTCAGGGCTACATTTTACAATGAGCATTGTAAGGAATGAGTTGGAAGAGAAAGAAAGAAGTTTCAATAAAGACCATTGAGAATCAGTGGGAATTGCTTGAGTGGTACAGTCTTATTCTGGGCAGTTGTCTTAGGAATGGAAAACAGGGACCATTCATACTAGAGACCTGTTAAGTTGAAAAACTCATGGGCCAATTATACAGTGGAAGATGAGTGGGTAATAGAGGGTGTGGGTGAAGAACAGGTCAATGACAGTGCCTTCACTGAGTAAAGAATTAAGCTAGCTGGGTTTGATAGGAAGCTTTTGTGTTTAATAGCTACCCTATAGGGTTCAGAGTTTAAGTTCAGTGTCAAGGTGGAGGGGTCTTATCTTAGTTAAAGATATTTATGTAATTGTATATGTATTTCTAGATCGGTAGTTCTCAAAGTCATGGGAGTAAGTGTGGTCACTTACAGGAAAACAGGGTAAATTCTTAGGGGTCATGACACCATTGAAGAGGCAAAGGAAAGGTCAGAGAACAGGAACTAAGTAGAATACCAGGGACATAGGAGAAGAAACAGAAAGAGTAGTCACAGAGAGACCTAGGGCAAAGTTTAAGGTTAAGAATGGGTGACCAAAGGTGTCACATTCAGCAGAAATGACAGCATAAGAAGGATGGAAACAGTCACTGGGTTTGATAGCCTTGTAAGTAAAAGGTCGGTGTGTGTAGTGGTGGAAGACTCTAGATCACATCAGGATAGAACTAGCCGGGCAGTGATGGTGCACACCTTTAATTCCAGCACTCGTGGGGCAGAGGCAGGCGGATCTCTGTGAGTTCAAGACCAGCCTGGTCTACAAGAGCTAGTTCCAGGACAGCCTCCAAAACAACACAGAGAAACCCAGTCTTGAAAAAAAATGAAGAATGTACACAACTTCTTGAGTGCTCCAAGAAATTATAGACATAAATGACATAGAAGGATAAAAGGTAATAACCCATGGATAAAAGTAACAAATAAAAATTATTTTAAAAGTCATAGGAAAACTATCTATCTATATCTATACACATAGATATAGATATATATCATAAAGATGAGATTCTTGTGAAGAAGGAGCAGCCAAATGCAAGAGACAAAGAAATTGTTGTAGTCCTGTTATCAATGCACAGCCTTGATGCACAGTATTATGGTTTGAATCTGAGGTATCGCCCAAAGGCCAATAATTTCAGCACTTGGTTTTAGCTTGTAGTACCATTTGGAGGGCTGTGGAGCCTTTGGGTGTTGGGGCAGGCCAGTGGAAGTAGGTTGCTATAGCATCCACACGAACGTGACACTTGGTTGCTTTCTGGTTGAGTTATCCAGCTCACATGCCCTTACCACCAGAGTCAAGCCCCTCCCCGACCATGCCCTTTCTGTTGTGATGAGCTGAAGTCACTGTGAAACCATCAGCCAGGTTAAGTCCTTCCTCCCTTCAGCTGGCCCTGTCAGGTATTAT